TTCAGCACTTGTCTTAATGAATGTTTGTCAAATGTAAATATGTCTCTGGAGACTTACTGGAGGCTTTATATGGTTTTTGTTGTTGTTTTTTCTGTAAACATGCCATCAGCTCAAAAACTACTATCCAAAACCTTCTTTAAAATTCTTTTCTGTATGGAAAATGCTTTGGGCAATACATTGATATCCCCATGAACACTTACTGTCTATCAGCATCTCTGACACTACCTTGTCACCTTTGGCTGCTACTCTCTCCGATGTGTTTTGAACCAGGAGGTAAGGAGATTTGACGCACGGTTTAAATGTGATTGTGAGCTTAAAACAAAATTTATCAATTTATCTTTAGTTTGATCTTGCCAATGACTGTATCTTTGTTTTCCCTTGGGTGCTGGTGTAGCAATATTGTGGGCTTATTTATCTATTTTGCCACATCTATTCTTGTCTTAAACACGACAAAGTTGTTGCAAACAGCTATTACATGAGTGGTTTTTAAGAGGAGGCAAGAGGAGCCTGTGCAAACCCAGGAGCCGCTGCTCTGATCCGCTCCATTCCAGGGTCTCTRCTGGAGCAGCAGGAGAGGGGCCGCAACGGGGCGAAAGGCAGCGGGGCGGCCGCGGCGGCCGGACAGGAGCGAGTCCCGCCGGGGCCGCGGCGGCGGTGCAGAGCTGCGCCCTGCCGGGAGCTGCGGGCCGCGCAGCGCAGACCCGGCCCGCGGAGCGGCCCCGAGCTGGGAACAACCGCGCAGCGCGTCGCGAGCGCCTCGACGAAGCCGCGGGAAGGCAGCGCGATCACATCAGCCGCGTGCGGAATCTCCGGGCTTTGCAGCCGGAGCAGCGTGGAGCATCCGCCCGCGGCTGCCCGCGGCTCCGAGAGCAGATAGGCCTGCTGCGCCGGACACGCGGCCTCTCRGTGCTCCGCAGAGGGGGAGAGAGGGGCAGCGGGAGAACGGAGCGAAGGGCAACAGGCTTRTCCTAATTAGAGCCTGAATGTGGATTAATATCCCTGGCACCAAGGCAAATAACTGAGCTAAGGGTGATGAGTATGAACTTGGCGGAGATCAGCGCTGCCTTGTTGCCCCGAAATCCCGAGTCCAGAGASGACAGGATGTGCCTAGAAGGCAGGTAGAGCCGCCCATGGAGCACGGCCGGGGCGATGTGAGGACACCGGAGGGGCTCTGCTGCGCTCGGCTAAGGAGCCTTCCTGGGCCACCTCTTCATCCATGTCTCCATTGGCATCACTGGAGCAGCCGTCACAGCCGCTCGTGGAGTTTGGTGTTGGCGTGAAGCGGGGAGCGAACAGCACGGATCGGCYCGGAGCAAAGCGCCTGCTGCTGCCGAAACGTGCAGCCTTCCCCCATTTGCTGCCMTCTCCCCAGCCCTCCAGCAGGTCCCTGTTGCCCTCAGGCAAACGAAAGGTTTACGGGCAGGAGAGATAAGAAGAGATGCTTCCCATGACCACAAGGCTCAGGAGTCTGCAGCCGGACACAGGGGAAGCGTCAGAGGTTGCTTCACGCGGGACGGGGCATTTCCAAGGGCTCCCTTGAAGTCTCCCTCGTCAGCGCGGCCGTTTCATCCCTGTGACCCCAAAGGTTTTGCCCCGGAATCCAGGGCATCGGGTGTCCGTCTGGGAGGGCCGCTCATTGCTAGACCTGCAAGGCTGAAAGGAAATGTCTGGTTTAACCAGCAGCCCCACGATCTGGCTTCTTGCTCCATTTTCCTTCTTCCCTGGTGATTAAAATAAAATAAAAATAAATAAATAAATAAATAAATAAATAAATAAATAAATAGGAAATCCTGGTTAAGAAAATAGATGCTCAGGAAGATGACAGGTATCAGCGCCGAGATAAGGAGCTAACTCCATAGCGTGGCCGAGCTGGAGGGCTGCAGAGAGGAGCCTAGAGCCCTTTGGGCGGCCTCAGAGCCCCTTTTGTGAGTGSCTCCTGCGCTTCCGAGCTGGACGTGGCCAGGGCCGGAGGGCAGCGGCGGCGCCCGGGGCTCCCTGGGGCTCCCTGGGGCTGCGGCCAGCCGGGGTCCAGCGAGACAAGGCTGGGACCAGCATTTGCTGCTGCTTTTTGCCTGCAGCATTTCGCCATGCTCATGTGGACCTTTTCCATGGCAAAAAAAAGAGAAGAATTCCCTTAAAAATCTTTGTGCCAAATAAGAGCAACACCAATTATTTCAGCTCGGAAGGGAAGGGCCAGGCACCAAATGGAGCACCAGCGCGGGCTGGACCYGCTCCGAGCGCCTTCCTCCTGCTCCRGGTGCTGCTGCCCGCCCTGGCGCAAGCCCAAAGCACCCAACGCTGTCCTGATCCCGCCAACACCTCGGACGCTCCTTCCCGCCGATCCCTCCCCTGCAAGGAAGAGCTGCCTCGCTCGCGCACGGATTCCCCAGCCAGATGGTTGGCCATCTCGGCCGGACCCAGAAGAGCAGGGAATTTTCTAGGTGCTTCCCATTACATAACGGTGCAGACGTGCAGGAGGCTGCAGAAAATCTGTGTTTATTTTTTAACTAATAGTGCGGGGTTTATTTGGGGTCTGGGGAGTGTGAGGAGCCACGCGCCTGCCGGGAGCTGCCCCGGCCCCGCTCGCTGCTCCGTGCCGCTTCAGCCGGGAGCCGGGCCAACGCGCGGGACTCCGGTTTATTTTTGATGTCGTTTTYACCCTCCTGGGCAGCAGCTGTTGGGGGAAACGGGACCCGCGGGCAGCCCCGCGCGCCACAGCCGCCTGGAGTCACGCGTTGCGATGGGAGCATCCCGGCCTCGGTCCGCACTGCCGGCGGCTCCGGCAGCGCCTGGAGCAGCCGCCCGCACGCGCTCCCGCCCCTGCCGCGCCGCTGCAGCCGGTAGCAGCAGCCGGGCCCCGATGCCGACGTGGGCAGGAGGCCGCCCGTGACCGCAACGATCCCGTTCCCTGTTGAGGCCGCGGCTGTTGGCTCCGTCCCGGCGGGGCCCTTGGCTCGGCGCGAGGCCGGCGGCGCCGCTGCAGCCGCTGCC